CCCAGCCCCGCCTCTCAGGCGCTTAAGCCGCGTCTGGGCGTCACAGGCTCCGCCCCCTCCCGCCGCCGCCCGTCCGCCCGGGGGACGCGCAGCACGGCGAGGAAGCCCGGCGGCGCGGGTGGGATCGAGCCACGCACGACGGGTTTGAAGGTTTTATTGGTGCGGAGCCGGGGGCTACAGCCGAAGCCCCTGCCGACTTTGGCCCAGGATCCCAGCGTCCCGCAGCTCAGGACGGGTCTTCCCCCACGGCCTCGCTGGGCTGCATAGACCTGAGGGGCAGCGAGGGGCTCCGCTGCTTCACACGGTAGTGGCCGCTCCGCTTCTGCACCCCGAAGACGTACGTTAAGGCCACTGCGACAGTCACCACGCCCAGGACCGCTAACACCCCCAGAAGGATGTTGGCGGAGAGGGAATTTTGATCTGTACGGAGAAGCGCGGAGTCAATTTGCGTGCCCCGGCGCCTCCCGGGCTTGCCGGTCAGCCCCGCCGCCCCGCCGCGGCTCACCCTGCACGTTCATCACCACGACCAGGGTGTACGTGCCCCGCGAGCTGGCCGCTTGGCAGTGATAAGTGCCTCCGTCTTCTAAACTGACGGAGAATGGTTTCCCCACAGGCACCTCGCGCCTGGAGCCTTCCTGCAAGCACCGCAGCTCGGGGACCGGGTTGCCCCGGGCCTGGCACTGCAGGACCTGGGTCGTTTTCTCTTTCCACTTCCAGAGCTGGGGACATTTGGCTCGATCAATCTTGGGACCGTCTGTGGAGCCACCATGCGATCAGACACCCGGCACACCCGAGGCACAGCAGGGCAGAGGAGAGTCAAATCTGACCAGAGCAGGGGCGCGAGGGATTAAAGGCCAGAGTGACCAACTTACACAGGACATGCAGCTGGACGCTCCTGTTCTTGCGCAAGATCTCCCCGTCCAGCTCGAGGGTGGCACTGCAGAAGAAGCTGCGCCCGTCGTCGCCCTCGGTGGCGTTTAGCTGGAGTTGAGCGGGCTCCCCGGGGGCCGCGGCCGGCACCCCGTCCAGCGCGACCTGGACTCGGGTTCCGGCCATGCAAGTCACGGTCACTGTGGACCCCTCGGGGGCGCGGGGCTCGCTCAGGTTCAGAATGGGCCCTGGGAAGCCTAAAGGCGGGACATTTCTCAGGAGCTTTCTGACCCCGACCCTCCTGTGAGTCAAGCCGCATCCTCCGCCCGCCCCTTTTCTCCCGGGGTGTCCGGACCACGCCTTTCGGCTTTTCTCTCCGGCCCTCTTTGCGGACTCCTCCAACTCGGGCCGCAGACTACACCCCCCCGGTTACGCAGGCCCTGCCCACGTCGAAATTCCTCCTTGAGCAGCTCAGGCCCCGCCCGTCTGCTGCGCCCTGGCGGCTGAGGCCACGCCCCTTGCCCCACCCTCTCGGGCCCTTTCGGCCCCTCCGTCTTACGGTACGCCGTCAGGTTCTTCCGGGCCTCGCGACTCTCGTCCCCCAGGGTCACGGTGCAGACCACCTCCCGAGGGCCCTCCTGATCTTCGGGCGCTGGGGCCGTGGCCGTGGCCGCGAGGGCGTCCCCGCGGCTTGTGACCGCGGGATTCAGCATCCGGTCTCCCAGCGCCAGCTGGACGTGAGCCTCCGAGGCTGGAAACAGCCCGTCGAGGGTACAGGTCACAGAACTCGACGTTCCTACTTCCAAGAACCACGAGGGGGCCGCGAGGCGCGGGGAGGTCGCGGGCAGGACTGGGGAGAAGGTCGGCGTGAGCCGGAGGAGGCCTCGCAGTCCCGGACGCTGCTTTCCGCAGGGCACCCCCCCAGCCCCCCCCGAGCGTCCTCAGCACAACCTGCGGCCTGGGTCACCCTCCTTCCCAAGGCACTCCCGCACTGGCACGGCGCGGCCGTCGCGAAAGTCCCACGACACGGCCCTCCCTTCCGAGGCCACCGCCCGGTGTGACCAAGGGCCTGGCTGCCCAGGAGTCCCCGAGGCAGCCCATTCTCGGGAACTCCGCGGCCAGGGCACCCCTAC